TTCAGTAAACATAATGAAGGTATTGCTAACTACCCCGCCGAGGACTTTCTTTTCTGCGTTTTTTTAGTAATCCGAGCCTCTTTGTAATTAAAGGCGTGTACATTAATGACGCCCGGTGTCTCCAAGGGGAACGCTTAATGTCCACCTCATAATATTAGGCCCAAATTACATGCCCAGAAGACTTCTTAATAATCTTGTGTTTCCTAATTTGGTTTTGATTGGCTCCGGAATCCATCGCCGCACCCAAGGGCCCTCATTTCTCCAGTCATCAGCACTTTGGAGCCGCAGATTGCATGGCTGCCCATGACTCCTTGCGCCTGCAGCCTTCTTTCCGAAGCTTCAGTTGGACTTATCCTGAGAATGAGCAGCCAGCCGGAGGTCAGTGCAGACAATCTGGCCTGTGTGTGCGAGGCACAGGGGTGTGGCATGGTGCTCTGGGCGCCACGTCTGTCTGAGCACAGAGAACGGCTCCGGTTGTCCCTCAGCGTGGCTCGCAGGTCCATGCAGCCCCTTTGCTCTTTCTGCACAGAGAACGGACGGCAGGGGGCAGAGCACATGTGTTTTCAGACAGAGCTGTGTCACCTGAGGCTTTGACGTGGCTCAGAGCAGGCTGTGACCCAGATTACCGTGGTGGACTAGCCTGAGGCAGGCCACTCAACCCTCTTTGACCCTCAGGTCCCTCCCCCTGAACGGAAACAGCCATTTTTCTGTAGCCACCACCACCTTAAAAGAAATGTATACTATTACATTAAAAAGAAAATGTATGACCCCTTCATACAGATAGGGCATCCCGGAAAATGATACACATATTGAATAATCATCCATTCCAATGGGTTAGATCCAAAACGAAAGCAACATCAATTAAGCTATCAGCTGGGAAGTGTGTGTACATTTTGGGGGGACATCCTGTATATTCATTTATACCTATATCTATACGTAATCCCCTAGTCCATTATCCTGAGTAGAAATGGCAGGATTCTCCCATAAAACTAATGTTTAAAGTCCTTATTAACACATAACAACTTAAAAATCACCAGACACCAAAGAGTTAGTAAGTAGGTCACTCAGGCTAACAAGCAGAGATCTGAGGTCCAATGGAATCACGTGGTCCCTTTCTTCTTAAATGCCCCCTCTGAAGTCAGCGTGGCGTTCACGGATGACACAGAATGACGAAGCGAGTGCAAAGAGCAGGGACACAGACCCTCAGTGCATTGCCGGGGAACGATAGAGCACTTCTCTGGCCGCACATCCCCTTGGCACTCAGCACTGCCATGGTCACAGCTAATCAGAGTGTCGCCAGCTGAGCAGGTGATCGCTGAGACCATTTGGCATGAACATTTGCATATGAGGGCTGAGCGGGACTGCGCTCCGGTGGCAGGTGCCCTGATGTAATGGGCCATAACGACTCGGAAGGAGCAGGCAGTATGAGTGTGTCAAGGAGGGGAGAGCGTGGACGTCGAGACACAAATGACTCCGGAGTCCATCAGACCTGAGGCTGAGGGGCCCTCAGCGGGGCTGAGGTGATAGCCTCCGGAGGCAGCCTGACCACCCAAACCTGCCCAGAGAATGCATTTCTGCCCTGGGCTGTTGTCGTCAGCATGGCTTCCCACAGGCACACAGACAGGCCCGAAGTCTGCGTTCCCAGGACGGGTAGTTAGATCCCTTATGCCAATCATGTGCATAGGAAGGTGTCCAAATGCAGCCTCGATGGGTACCGTCTCATATGCCTTGCACTCTCCCTCAGAAAACGGCTGGGCTCATTGACAATCTGAAACCCACCAAGGCGTCCGTGCAGTGGCATCTGGTACAATGCGGCCTTTTCAAAAGACTATCCTGTGGGGTTTCGTGTGAGTGAGCATACAGAGCACACAGGGAAGTCCGGGGCTGTGGTCGGCAAACTCATTAGTCCACAGAGCCAAATATCAACAGTGCAACGATTGGAATTTCTTTGGAGAGCCACATTTTTGAAACTTAAACTCCTTCTAACACCACTTCTTCAACATAGACTCGCCAGGCCATGGTATTTTGTGGAAGAGCCACACTCAAGGGGCCAAAGAGCTGCATGTGGCTCTCGAGCCACAGTTTGCCGACCACGGGTCCAGGGGATGGCGTTCAACATCATCATTTGAATTCTGTTTTCCCCTTTGGTCTCTGACATCCCTTAGCCAGTAGGCTGGTAGGCACTGGCTCATGGAAGGGTCCTAGACCATGTTCCTGTGAAAGGCAGGTAGGAAGTTCTGTAACGTCCCCTTACCCAGCCGTGATGGGGGGAAGGGGCGTATGGCAGACACCCCCCCACCCCCACCCCCCTGCTCCCAAGCACACCTTTGGGCACAAGAGACAGAACAGGGCTGAGCAGGCATTCTCTGGCCGGAGCTGAGATGGGGAAGCTGTACATCAAATAACCCATTGAAAACGTCCCTCGGGGCCTGTGCAAGTGGAAATGCTCTCTGAACAAGGAGATGTGCCACTTCACTGAGACGTGTGAATCACTGAACATGTCCCGAAGTGGCGCATCATTTCAAGGGCATGAGAACCCATAGACAGTGCTAGAGTGTTCTTAGTAATAGGAAGAGCCTGGCCAGTATGCTGAACGGTAGAGCGCAGACCTATGAACCAGGAGGTCACTGTTCTATTCCGGGTCAGGAGTTGTGGACTCCATCCCCAGTAGGGGGCGTGCAGAAGATAGCTGATCAGTGGTTGTCTCTCATCATGGATGTTTCTATCTCTCCCTCCCTCACCCTTCCTCTCTGTGAAATCTATGAAAAACATATTAAAAAATAAAGAAATAATAATAGGAAGAGCTGGCCCTGAACTCCTCTTGTCCTATAAGGAGTAAAAGATCATACAACCTATTACCTGCTTGCAATTTCCCCGCAGATTCATGACCTGATCTGGAATCCGACCTTTCCAGAGATCTGATTAAGGGCCTTACATAAAGCCCGCCATCCCCTGGCCTTTCCCCAGACTTGCTGTGATTTTGCAAATCTGTTGGAATGAACTCCTCTCCTGGAGGTCTCTAGTACCCAAGGGGCGACTTCTTTGCAAAGCGCATGCCTGCCCGCCTCCCTTTGAAATACTCAGTCTTCCTGGGGGACTTTAGTCATCTTGACACCTAATCGCCAGGCTCTTTCTCTTGCTCCCCACAGAATTGGGTTTAGGCGATAATTCAAACCAGTCCCCAAAGGCACTTCTGAAAAATGGCAAGCCCTAGCTTTTAGGTGAGAACACTCTTTATTGCTCAAAAAAAGAAAAAAGAAAAAAAAAGAAAAAATCGTTTCCTGTTGCAAAACCTCCTCTCCAGGGCTAGGTCTGGGATGATCTTATGCTAACCGGGACGGTTAACAGATGCTACTTTGATGAATCATTTCACTCTCCTGCAAACGCCCGGCCGGGTTCCAGATAATAAAGCCAGGTAAGAAGACTATTAAAATCTGCCGCACGGTTCTCTCTGCTCCGTGAAAAATGGGGTCACGGTCCCTGGGTGGAATGAAGGCCACCTATGACAGAAAAGCAATGACCACCCCCCGCCCCCCGCAGCCCCCGCCACAAATGAACAGGCTGCCTGAATGTCTTAGCACATTGTTGGCGTACATCACAGCAATCACCAAACTCTTCTACTCATACCTCAGAGGTGTGCTGTCGGCAATGTCCCTGAGAAAATTCAGTGCATCACTCCAGGGTTACCTCTCCCATAGCATTTCCCTTTCCACCCAGAACAGGTGTCAGATCCACCTCGAGGACAATGAACTCCATGCTTTTGCTTATTCAAAGGACAGCTCAGAAGGTCCCCAGATAACATGGTTTCATCCAAAGCTGTCGACGTATCATGTTGGTGAGACGCCAGGGGAATTAGACTCTTGTTTCTACCTATTAGCCTGGGGGACAACTGGTTTTGTTACCCATTTTGTCTCTTCGAGTCGCAGAACCTAGCACCGAAGTTAAGTGAGGACTTGCTGTACCTGAATTTGTATGTTCCGTGTCATTAACCTTCAGCAAATATGTTCCCCCATCCCAGCATTCAACTCTAAAACACCCATGGCAAACCGCGGCCCTTGAAGACAAGGGGCAGCAGGAACTGACAAAGAAGACTCTTGTGACTGGCTTATTTCGCTCAGCCCTTGCAGATCCATCCTTGCCGTTGCAAATGGTAAGATAAATATCACATGATCTCACTCATAGGTGGAGTCTAATGAACAAAATAAACTGATGATCAAAAACAGACCCAGAGACACAGAAGCATGAACAGACTCTTAACCCTCAGAGGGAAGGCAGGGAGGTGGGTGGGAAGAAATCAACCAGTGAACTTGTATGCATATGCGCATCACCTGTGGACACAGGCAATGGGGTGGTGAGGTTCAGGGGGAGGAGGGGGGACAGGAGCAGGCTGGAAGAGGTTAATGAGGGGGAAAAGGAGAACTTATGTAATACTTTCAACAATAAAGATTTAAAATAATAAAGACGCCACTGGCAAAGCTCCCCACAACACGTTAGCCCCTCTCTCTGCCCCTGCTTCTCCTCCCACTGGTGTCCTAACCAAAGATTTCCACAGCCCAGCAGTTTTCCAAGGAGGAGAACCATGCCATCCACTCTAGCCTCGAGATGTGAAACCTGGGACTGGCCTTAGATCCCCACCGAAGGGACCTCTGCTGTGGAGGTGGTTCGCCCATAGGTTTTCTCCGGACCCTATACCATACGGCCTGCTCAGATCCCCACTCAATCCGAAACTGAACTGCAGCTGGACGTGTCCTTTGACAACTTGAATACAGTGCCCTTGTCTCCGTGAGACCTCAGGAAAGTGGAAGCTCAGGTCCAGAGGCTCCATCACACTGTTACCAGTGATCCCAGATGGGACTGGCCTGCACTGGGATGACCCATACCCCACCCAACAGATCCAGCTCATCAAGGGGTTGAGTCTTTGACTCACTGCATTGGTAGTCACGCACCACAAGCCCCCACTGACTAGGAAACCTTCTATTCGAAGGGGTGGCCTCACTCACCATCGCGCAGAACGTCTCGGGAGGGTCTCCGCACGTGATGTCAGGAGGGTCCAGCTTCACTTTCAGGTACTTGGTCATGTCCGTAGATTCCGGCTGACAGGCCATGTAATCCCACACTTTGCCTTCTTCCGTGTAGATCTGGGTCTTGCACAGATCGTAATGTCCCCACACCAGGGGGTAGGGCTGCATCACCGACGACACGGTAACCCAGAGGGCGTGAATGGACAGGAATCTTGACCAATACATCTCTAAATTCTTGGCGATCTTGGCGAGAACTGGCACAGGGTTGGCTTATCTGTGGCCTGTGTCTATTTTATACACACATGGATGTCTATACGTAGGTAGGGCCGGATATTTAAAAAAAAAAAAAGAAAAAGAAAAAGAGGATGAGATGTCAACGTTGACGCCAAAACTGACCGTGAAGGGTTGAGATACGGGGCGCGCTCAGGGATCTGGAGGACTTTGGCGGAAAGCTAACATACTGACGTGGCAGGCGTTAACAGCAGCCTGTGGGTTTGTTGCTGTCCTACAACATAGCTACTCAATGGGGGGTCCAGCTGGTTTTTGTCCAAGATGTCCGGTTGTGGGTGGTGATTCAGCAAAGGGGTGGCTCTCGAGCTGAGCATCCAATCACCCTGGGAGATCCTGGGTGTTCGTGGCTCACCAGGGCTTCTGGGATGCACTCAGGTGTCAATATCGGAAGCAAAAGGGTGAGTGTCTCTAGCTGGTGTCTGTGTCCCATCAATCATTCTCTTCTTCTGGCACCAACACCCCTGTAGAAACGATAAGAAGAGGAGTTACTGCACTGAATTACCAAATAAAGGGAAGGTTGACAGTGAGGAGGTTGGACACAACTTAAAGCAAATGAGTGGAGTATGGGTCACCTTGATTCAGCTGCTGTGATGGTGAGCAGGCCAGAGAAATTAATCCCACTGGGGGAGAGGGGGGATTTCAATAGAAGGATGGAACTCTTGCATGTCACTAAGGTGTATGTGTGTGTGTGTGTGTGTGTGTGTGTGTGTGTGTTCTGGTGGAGTTACAGGTTTTCGCTTCAAAAACTTTATTTCCATCTTCACCAAATGGAGAACAAGGAGCTGGCCTGAAGCGTGTCTCACCTGTGGGAGGGCTAGAAAATCTCCCAAAACAATGAGGGAAATGAGTGCTTTTACCACACTGGCAAAGACGTGGCAGCTACCCGTGTGCCTTTTGTCTCTTGGCAAAGAGCCTCTAGAAATCTCCCAGTTCCTGCCTGGCAACCCCCTTGGGTCCCCTCCCTGCAGCAGGGATCTTTGCTGTAAGAAACCTTCACTTTGGCTCATCTCTTTGTCCACAAACCCATTCTTCCATTTCATGAGACAACGGACTCGGACCAGAACAGAAATTTTGGGTATAGTATCATCTATGGAGGCCCCAGCAACATCAAGCTGCAAGTGGTCATGGAAATGGATCCCGAATAACAGCCCCTTTGGTCTGTGGTCCCTTAGATCGCCTATCTCCAATGCCCCCCACTGCTGGTTTGGTTGCCCCTAACTGCCCCCCCTCGGCCTGCATGATCACTCCTAATTGCCTCTACCTGCTGGCCTGATCACCCCTAACTACCCCCCCCCCAGCCAGCCTGGTCACCCCTAATTGTCCCCCTGCCAGCCTGATCACCCCAAACTGCCACCTGCTGCTGGCCTGGTCTCCCCCAACTGCCCTCCCTGCCAGCCTGGCCACCCCCAACATTCCCCCTGCCTGCCTGGTCGCTCCCAACTCTCCCCTCAACCATCCTGGTTGCCCCTTACTGCACCCCTCTGTCAGCCTGATCACCCCTCACTGCCCACTCCTACCAGCCTGGTTGCCCCAACTGCCCCCCTGGCCTGGTCACCTCCAACTGCCCCCCTGCTAACCTGGTTGCCCCTCACTGCCCCCCAGCTGACCTGGTTGCCCAGTGTAGCCTACTGTTTGGTCATATGGTCACCCCTCACTGTACCCCCTGCCCGCCTGGTCGCCCTCTGCAGCATGCTGCTCTATCGTTGTATGAGGGCGTCCCAATCAATTTGCATATTACCCTTTTATTAATACACACACACACACACACACCAATTGCATATACATTTCTTGGCTTTTGTGAGCTGGAGTGAAAACTGGCTTTTTTTTGCACCAGCCTACCTCTTCGGAGTTGCCCGTGACTTTGGGGGAATTTAGCATCTTTTTGTTCAGTTGCATTTAATCATAAAAATAATTTGGCACTCTGAGAAAAAAAAAAAAAAAGATTCAAAGTAAAACCAAAGGAGGAAATTTTCCCTTGCTCGGAATTCTCTATTCTCTTGCATCGTTTTACAGACATGACGTCCGCATCTGTAGTTACTTTCTGTGGCAGAAGAAGAGAATTTGTCCCAAAGGTGAATATTAAATACGCTGCTTTAAAACAAAAAGCCCGGTAGTAAAACGCACAATTTAAAATGCACATTTAAAAATAGCTGAGGGTGACTTAACAGGCCGAGAAGCAGAATAATATGGCGCTAATTCTAAGAGAAAATAAAAATGACTGTTTCAAAATGCTCTTGCTTAACTGATAATGCAGCCTCCACAGCTATGGGGATAAGTCACTGGTGGGTTGAGTTGGCAACTTTTCTCTTTGGCGATCGCAGTCTATAGCTAAACAAATGATAAAAGTTGGACTCCAGGTTTCAAAGCATCAATTTGCTTAATTAGTTGGTCCATTTTGTCCTAGTCCCAATCGTTATTTTCAAAACCACCGAAAAAGGGCAAAAAGCCCAGAGTTCCAGAAAACAGCCTCAGAGACCCTTTGAGTGACAGGAAGCAGGTTCGGTATGGGCGTTCCCTGTCTTCAAATAACATCCTAAGAGGAACCTGCTCTATTCAAACAACGCACCACCCTAAAACGAACGGAGCCACGGAAACCACGAAATGCCAGCAGATGGCTGAATTGTGTTTCCATAGCAAAGTAATTTATAATAATTGCTTTATGGATGCAAGCACCATTTTCATTATATCCCATTCATGAAATGTTATCATACAGCTGCAAATGGTGATATTTCCTATTAGGAAAAGTTGAAGAGTGGAGTTCCTGGGAAGCAATAATTAGCAGTTTGTCTACACATGGATCAACTACCCATTTGGATCTGCTTCCTCCCTGGAACGGAAAGACTATACTGTGGCCCCAACCGGTTTGGCTCAGGGGAGAGCATCCGCCTGCGGACTGAAGGGTCCCAGGTTCGATTCCCGTCAAGGGCATGTACCTGGATTGTTGGCACATCCCCAGAAGGGGGTGTGCAGGAGGCAGCTGTTGGATGATTCTCTCTCATCGATGTTTCTCTCTATCCCTCTCCCTTTCTCCCTGTAAAATGTCATTTTTTTTTTTTTAAAGACTACATTGTGTGTTGAGCACTCTTTAAAATCTTAAGCTAAAAAGGAAAACATCCCCAGGGAGCATGTGTGTGGCTACTACGGCCTTCTGTGTTTTTTGCTTTGTTTCGTTTTGTTTTGGTGTGTGTGTGTGTGTGTGTGTGTGTGTATTTCAGATTCACTAATAGATGTAAGTTGATATTTTCAGAAAACATCCACCACTTTGACAGGTAATAATCGGAAGAGGTGTTAAAACAGTATACATGCACATTTTCCAGATGATGGTTTAACAGTGTTTGCTGCTTTATTATAACCAGAACCAACACTTTCATTGTGTGTGTGTGTGGGTGTAGGGAGGGGGAGGGGGTGTTACAACGGAAGCATATCAACTCCACTTGACCAGAAATTCACTTCAATTCTCAGTGTCAAATAAATGCACAGCAACTTAGTTATCAAGGACCATATGTTCCTGAAAACCCGACGTGGATGGCAATGACCCTGAGGTGACTAAGCGCTAGGAGTTAATTCTTAATCTTCTTTCAAAAATATGACCCAATCAAAAAAAAAAAAGGGGGTGGGGGGACATACGTAATACTTTCAACAATAAAGATAAAAAAATAAATGACCCCAAGTACATATTTGAATTCTCCCTGAGGCTACTCCACTTTTTTTTAAAAATCAATGGACGTTACCCCTGCCCTCCATCCCCCACCCTCCAATTCCACTCCTTCTGGATGACTGTCTTTATCCACAGGTGGCCCTCCCACCACCACAAAATAAAGGCACATGGGAAATGCGGACATGAAGGAAGTGTATGCGAACCTATTTCTAGTTCCTGACCCGTCAGCCATCCCACTATGGTGGCCTCTCATTAAACTCTACGGGAACGATAATGATGGTCATTACACAGAATTATGGACTAGACCATTGATCGGATGTAGAGAAGTGACAAGGGAAAATGCAGAGGAGTGCAAGATATTTGAATACGGGGCCCTCGCAGGCCTGGGCGACAGACGTCCCTGACAAGAGGCAGCCAATTATAGCTCCCATTTCTGGCACATAACCAGTTGTGATTAATAGTTTTCCATTCCGCTACAGACGTACTATTAATGTATTAAAAATGTCAGGCCCTGGCAAGCACTAAGATGGCGTGGCCCGGGCGGGCTGCGGGATTTACATTTAATGAGCTCCCGTTGACACGGGGGGAGGGCGCGGGCCACACCGGGGTACAGGTCAGGAGGGGAGAGGTGCGGAGCCCTTCTTCCACGGGATTCCTTGCTTCTGTCCTCATTTTCTAGATGCGAACATGCCTTCCCCAGCATGTATCCTTCTTATTAGGGTTCCCTTAGCTGTTGGTACAACGCACACAGGTGCAACATTCTCTCGGAGGGGCATACGTGGGGAGGGGTTTGGGGTGGGAATGGAGGGATGAGGACAATTATGGGATACCATCATCAATAAAAAAAATAATAAAAATAAATAAATAAAATACGATTAAAAAAAAAGGGGGGGGGGCTAATAGGAAATCAAAGCTATGAGCTCTCATGGTACACAGAAACCTGTCCCCATTAGGACTTTTGAACGAGTTGTAGAGTTTTCAAAGAAAATAAGACCAAGTGAAAACATTGTTTTTAACGTCTCTTATTGCATGACGGCACCGGTCCCCATCTGGCAATGCTTGCCAGCAGGTGAGAATCACCAATAGCTTCTTAAAAGCCGAGTTGTGGTGGCAAATAGCTAGGCAACCCGATGAGGAGAAAGGCAGTCAACGACGCATGTGGGGATTTAATAATCAAAATGAACCCCTGCTGGTCCAGGGCAGAGCTACTTGCTAAGGGTTGTGGGCTTTGAACATGTCCCAGGTGTGGGGCATCCCTCACTCACAGCAGGTTTGCAAAGTCTAGCTCTTGACTTTGCAAACCTGGGGAACTCACCACGAATCCAACAATGCCAGCATCTCTCTCCCTGGGCACTGAGATGTCCTCTTGGCTAAAAATACCGTGCCGGGAGCTCTCCCTGGACCTCTGGCTGGTGCATACATTTGCAGCGCCCACATAAAAATGTAAAACAGTGTCAAGCCCTCATGTAGATGGATGCTATTGATCTGGACTAACTCCGGCTATCAGATGGCCTCGCACACATGGAATGTGATCTTTCTCCGGGATTCTGTAGCTGATCTCCCTCCTCCTCGGATCAGCTCTGCCCAGGGTAGTTCCTGGGCTCTCTCCTGCAGCAGAAAAGAAGCCTTCCCTAAAGACGACATGTAGGTAACCATGACCAAAAGGATGGGCAGTGACAGTCCAGACCCATCGCCAGTTTCATCAGCGGAGAGGAAAACACGGAGAGTGAATCCCCAGACTCTAGCAGGCTTTCTGTCCTGTAATCTCCCCAGAGGTGGGGGTGTTTACGGCTATTTATGCCGTAAACACTTGGGGCACCTGAAATAGACAGCGATTGACTCATTCCTCATAGATGTGAAGGGTTTTATAAATACACTTGTGTTTGAATGGGAAGGAACAAAAGACGATCGTCATAGTCCATTGACTGAGACATATAAGTAACACCACGTACAAATTCTCCCACCTGTCAAAATTAGCAGCCTCCGACACTGCCCTGATGAGCTTAACCGGAGTGGGCGGGGAAGCAGACAGAATGTTCCTGGCGTTTAGTTAGCGGTTGCAAGGTGAGCCTTTTCTCGTCCTCTTCCCAGGGAACGCTTGCTTCTCTCCTTTTGTTAACTGTCTCTCAACATAGAAGGGGTTTAGCATGTTCTGCCACACGATTGGCATTTTTTTCCTACTCGGACTTGATTGGCTGTTAGGGGCAACTGTCTATCAGGAGATTCTCAACAAAAGCAAACACACACCTTTGTGTGGGAAGCAGCTCTGCCTGCCCCGGGGGAAGGCTGCTCAGGGAAATTAGTCAGCCTCTACTTGGCAGGATGCGGGAGGGCGGGATAATTCACAGGATCATTTCAGAAGCAGCAGTGTCTAAAGGAACCCTTGGCTTCACTATCACACGGCAGCAAGTCTCATATCCTCCGGCAGGGAGGGGTCCAGAGATCCGAGGCTTCAAGAGCACAGGGGAGGAGATCTACAGCCACGTGAAGTTTGCAAACAAAACTCTGGGTTCTGAAGATTCAGTTATTTTTAAAGGATGCTAAATCCCTTACGGAACTACAATACAATACAATACAATACAATACAGTTCACACACACACTTACTCACACACACACACACACACACACACACTCATTTTTCTGTGAACGTGCAATTGACTTGTTGAGTCGAATGCACTTTGATTTCTTCTGGAGCAACCTGGGGCTTTTGCAACTGAAACTCTCTCCCAAAGTCTTACAACACTGAGGCAGCAAACATATCAACTACATGGGCAACAGCTTTCTTTTTGAAGCCTGTTACTTGGTGATGCCCCCCTGCACAAAAGGGAAGCAAAGACAGGTATTTGCTCCAGTTACAAATATACCCGAGGACACTGCAAAACACATGACTTGCCTCTTCTTTTAAAAAATAAATAAATAAATAAATAAATAAATAAATAAATAAATAAAGGTAACCCGCGTCGCTTTCACGCACATGCCCAAAGCAAACATCTCCACAGGAAAACAGCTTTCTGTGGCAGGAACGTCTGTTCTTACAGAATTCTAATTTCCACCCTAGGAAGTGTCACCCAGTTAAAAGTCAGATATATGGAATCCCGGATGTCCTCGGGTTGGTCTTGAACTTCGTGGCACCCCGAAAAGGACAGGGAACGTGCCCCTCTCATGCACGGGAGCTGGGACAGCGTGACGTGAGACGCTGGATGGATTCCGTTCTTTGTGCTGAGAGCCACATGCAAAGAGTCACATTTTATCCTGACACAACCCTGAAAGTGCTGACCTCCCCCCAAACCTCGGCCAGTTATAGAGCAGCTCTTTCTGTTCTTTGTTTTTGCCAAAGAGAAGGGGGTAGGGGTACCCGTAGGCATTCATAGTGGCACCGTTCCAGGACTTGCGGAAGCCAGGACTTGCTCATTCCCGGGGGTTAGACATGCTTTGCAAGGGCTGGACAGATCCCCCGAGCCTTGCCCCTCCTCCGACAAAGACAATGTCCGGAAAACTTTCCCTAACAAGCCTCACTGTTAAGTATATTTGAATCCAAGGTTTTGTTTGTTAGGCCTTTCTGGTGTGATTATTTCCCCCCCCCCCCCCATTTCCTGTTTCTGAAAGATAAGAAAACTCTTTTCAGTCATAAACGAGGGCCTTATTTCTAGAGCAGAGCTACTGCCAGATCCACCATATGTTGAGTGAAATGCTGAATCCCACTCAGAATTTCCCATTCTGAAGATCTGACATTTACCTGTGCCTGGGCGGGGAGGAGGATGGGGAAGGGGACAGGAACAAAAGCCTTTACTCTCTGGAAATCGATAGGATTGGGAATGCATCCTCTGGCCTTTCCAGATAAAGCTGCTTTAGAATCCCCCGCTGGGGGTTTCTCTCCCTGGCCCTGTAAAATGACAGCCTCCTAAGTGGATTTCTGAAAAAAGAAAAAGAAAAAGAAGAAGAAAAAAAAAGTCCCCAGGTGAGGCCACTAAGATAAACAGCAGAGGGCGCAGTTTCTTTTTTTATCCAAGTTTGCCCGCGTCTGCATCACTTAATTGGTTATTTTGGGCCCAATAACAGCCAGTATTATTTGTATTATATATAGATATCCACAGATCCATACCAGAGAGAGCGACTCATTGTCCCTAGCCGGATCTATCCACCGATAACACAATGCCAGCAAAGAACCCGAGAAACCCATGCCTAACTGCATCCCACATCCAGTGCTCCCCTCTGCATTTTCCCTCTCCCCCCCAATCTGGGGTAGCCAGGCTTTCCTCCGGCACTGATAAAAGGGATTACATGCAGGAACTTCAAATGCAATCAGTGGGATCCGGGCTGCAAAGGGCCCGCAGGAGGGCAAACCCCCCCCCCCCCCAAAGCAAAGACAATTGGTGAGAGGAAAAAGGGGGACCCTTCAGGGCATGGGGTGTGCTCAGGTGTGCGGAGGGAGAGCGCGCCCTGCGCCCTTCCTTCTGTCTGTCCATCCTCACAGCCCAGCATGCGGCTCCCAGCATCGCGCCAGGCACCAGCTGCTGGGGCGCAGCCCGGAGCCCGAGCCCGAGCCGGGGTGGGAGTGCGCGGGGGTGTGGGCGCACAGGGGCTCCTGCCGCCTCCTCCCCGCGCTCCGCAAACTTCCTCGCCCACCGCGGGGCCTCGCCTCCCGCTGGCACCTGGCACTGGGGGGGGGGCATCCCGGGGGGCAGAGGGGCTGCAGGAGGGGCACGCGGCGGGTGGCACTCACCATGTGGCCCGGGGACCCCTGCGCCCGCGGGAGCCGCGCGCCCGGCGCCGGGTGGCCGCCCTGCCCAGCCGGGCGCACCCCCTGCGGCGGCTGCAGCGGCGGAGCCCCGGGGCGCTCACAGGGCGGCGGCGGCGGTTCCCGCCGAGTCTCCGGGGGGCTCGGGGCGCAGCGGGAGGGACAACGGGGTGTGGACCCGGCGGCACCTCCGCAGCCCCCACCGCAGCCCCGCGGTCCCCATCGCGCCCGCCCAGCCCGCAGCCGCGGGAGGGGACCCGGAGCGCCCCGCGCCCGCCCGCCCGCCACTCCCGCCGCTGTTACCTGCCCTCCGGCCCTGGGGGCCTCCCGCGTCGCCCCCGCTCGCAGCCCTCTCGCCCGGAGGGGGGTTCCTTCCTTCCCGCGGACGTCCTCTTCCCAAATGCAAACGCCCGGTGACTTGGGCAGGTGGAGGAGGAGGAGGGAGGATGGAGGCGGCGAGGACGGGCAGGTGCCGCTCCCTCCAAAACCGGGTGAGAAGCGACGCGAATGACGGGCTCGCGGCTCCGGGAAGTCCCCGCCGTCCCGCCCGCCGCCTCGCCGCTGCCGCTGCCACTTCTCGCCTTAAACTTTTACGGAGGGATTTTATTTTTTGGTCCCAATTTATATATATTTCCCCCCTATCCTTTAAAAAATGTTAAGCTGCAGGACGATGTCCCGGTCCCCCGGGCTCAGCACCAGCAGCCGGGCGGCGGTACTCCGCTCGGCGCAGCTTTCCTTTAATTTCCTTTTTATTTCCAAAGGAGGACGAGGAGGAGCGGAGCTTCTTGGTCCGAAGGGACCGACGCCGCCGGGACCGTTAGGAGCGTTGGCGCCCAGATCCTCGGGTGCCGGAGCCGGAGCCGCCCGGCCTCGCTGCGCGCATTCCTCCGCTCAAGTCAGAGCCGTCAGCGCGCATCCTGGCGGCGATGGCTGCGGGGCGCCGCGCTCCCCGGGTCCGAGACCGTGTGCGGAGACAGGCATGGCCCGGCCCCGGCGCTGCTGGATGGGATGGCGGTGCCCGGCTCCCGCCCTGCCCGCCCGCCCGGCCGGACCCGCTCCCCGCGGCAGCGGCTCCGGGCAAACTTCGGGGCGGGCGTGCGAGCGCGGGAGCGCGCGGGGTGGGGGTGGGGGCGGGAGGGGCTCCGGGGAGGCAGCCGCGAGCCCGAGCCCGGAGCCCGGGAGCCGCAGCCCTCCGAGGGGTGGCCGTGTGCACGCTTCACTTCGAAGCGGCTCTCCGTCTGCCACCGGCAGCGAGCGGAGGGATGGCAAAGCTCAGGCTCCCGGACGCGCGCTCCGAGCGGTCCTAACTCCCGCGCTCCTCGCTGCGGCGGCTGCTGTGGCCACCGGGGCCGCCACTCCGGAACCTCAGGCTGCGGAGGCTGGGGACCCCCTGCCCCTCTGCCCCGTCCAGAGATGGTCTGCCAGAGCGCGGTTTCCTGGCCCTTCTCCTGTGCCTGTCACTCCCGCACTCGCCCATCCCACCCCTCACCCCCAGTTTCCCCTCCAAGCTTGGCCAGAGCGCACCCCCAGCCCCTAGCAGGGAGGCAACTGTGTTTCAACCAACAATTCCTGGGCCCTACAGCGCGCCCCTGGAACCTCCTCACTTAGACAGCCGTGCTCCTTGGGGAAAGCTGTGGCTGAAGAAAGAGGGGTGTCTTTTGGGGCCTCCTTGCCTTCCCCAAGATGCATGGAAAATGTCCCCCAAAACTCGATTTATATCAGCTTGGGAAGGGGCTGGGGGCTCCGATTTACCTGGGACCACTCCTAGCTAACCAGTAACACCAGCAACAACAACAACATCAAGACTTAGAGAGGGAGAGACTGGGGTGAGAAATAAGACCATAACGGAATGCGTGGCTCTCAGACCTCCATATGCATCTCAAAGACACCTGCCTTCAAACTATTTCTCCTGCAGGGACAGTGAGCAGGAAGGGCAATGGGGCAGGTGAGAGGGAGGACACCCAGGGAGGCCTGGGGTGTGGGGTGGAGGAGCCCTGGGTCTCTGTGGGCCGGGCCTGAGGAAATGGGGGATACACTGTGGAGGAAGCAGTTCTGGTGATAGTGGTGCTCAGACCCGGGGGCGGCTCCCTGTGCAGGACCCAGCGGGGGCGCCCAAGGCCAACAGAGGGTCAGCCATGGGCAACCAGGCGTGAGCACCTGGGCACTCATTTGGGGCCCACGTGAAGGAACCCAGCTACAGCAGAGGCAGCATTTTTTGTGGGTGACTCGGGGGGAGGTAAAATCAGAAGGTGCCTGGGGGAGAAGGTCAGCCTATAGCCAGCCCCTTCCCTCCCCCCTCCCACCCCAGTTGCCAGGGAGGAGGCAGAGATTCTGGGCACGTGGGCCTAACAACATCTGAGAGGCCCAGTGAGTCCTCCCTCCCTTGACTGCCCCCCCGCCCCTCCAGGGCAGAAAGCTGGAATTCCCCTGCTTTTCCCCCCACTCCACCCCCCCCCCACACACACACACACAACTCTGTGCTTAAGGACCCACAGCACACAGTGGCTTGCAGGGCTGAAACTAGAAGGCATCCTTTGCCATGGGCATTCCTGGCTCTTCACCTGGTCCCCACCCACCCCCCTCTAGGGTTGAAATATGCTGGTTAGAGGGAGGTGTCACTCACCCCTAACCCGCCCTTACAGCCTCTCTCCCCCAGCTAGTCTGTTTTGGGGAACCAATAGGATTTGAGAAGCAAGGGCCACGTGGCCCCCTCACTTCCCATTGGCTGCTGGCCTGAAACACAGAGCACTCTGGCACAGCTGCTACCCAGCCCTCCGCCTCACCCCTCCCTCCTGCCTGGTCCCTCAAGGCAAGAAACCCCCTTGGGAGTTTTCTTTCTCGGCTTTATCTAATCTTTTTAGATTCTCCTCCAGTAAACAAGTAAAGAAAAGAAGTGGATATGAGGTCAGGAGACTCCCTTCTGGGATTTGCGAGGTCCTGGTGATCCTGGTTTCTGACCTGGAGAGATGTCCTTTCTTCTGCCAGAATCTTGGCCTGCTCCTTCCCCTCCTCCTGCACTAAACGGCAGGGGGGGGGGGGGGAAGACAGGGGCCCCTCATTCTAGGACCCCTCGCTGGGACAGGGGGCAGACATGGGCCCACAGGAGTCTGACCCGTGAATGGGGTCTCTCTCCAGTTGGGTCATTTATCACGTCTGCTCTGCTATTTTCACAGACTCTACAAATCACCAACCAAATGCGTGGATCTCAACGTGGGCAGGAGATGAGAATTCCCAGAAGAAGATTCTCAAAATGAGCTCCCCCCTCCCCCCCATTTCCCCTCTGAGCAGAGCCCTCCCTCTCCCCCAGGGAGGATGCTGGGAAGGACTTTGGGCGGAGCCAACATTCTTCCTTAAACCGGAGGCCCTGTGGACTCACACTCACAAACTAACCAGGCTTTCTGCAGTTGACTTTTGCACATTTGTTTCTCTCATCCACACCCATCGGGAATTGACTGCGGATATTTTCTGGGCATCAAAGAAAACCATGTAGGACAAACTTGCTTTTCCCATCATCCTTAGCTTTGTCCATCTCTACCTATTAGACTTCCCTTGGAAAGAACGATGTGTCTGTCTGTATTTAACCTTCCCACTCCACTCCCCCCCGCCCCCTTCCAGAGGAGGACTGCTTGACCTTTGGCTGCAGAGCCCTGGCTGGTTCCCATGCCTTCCCCATTCCTCTTCAACTCAGATGCTCATTTATGTGTATTCCTGTTGGGTCTCTAACTGTTGTTCCTTTTTTCTGAGGTATCAGCTGCTTAAAAGCCTTCTTTGTAGATATTTGGCAGGGCTCCGGAAGTACATGTAACGTCAATCTGCCAAACGGGTAGGGGTGGCGTATTTGCAATCTACCTAGTCCAAAAAGATACGGCCCTTCTTGTAAAGGCTGTAAGGGACTGGATGTAAAGTAGGCGGAAGATCAATGTTCATTGCAGGTGTGAGTAATTCTTCTCCAATCCCAGGATCCAGGTATGGCCTCCTTGGTCACAGGAACCAACTCCCGCTATGTTAAACGAAGACCCAGATTCTGAAAACAGCCAAGTCAGGGACAAGTTCTCGTTGGGCCAATTACATACAATGTGATAGATGCTTCTTATGGCTGCTGCTGGTACCCAGTAGAAATGTCCTTGCAGGCGGTTGTTAAACTCTTAGCTTGTTCTTGCCTCCAGTCTGTGCTCAGGAACATGTTTTATCACAGCGCCACCAGTGGCATAGTTCTGACGTTTTTTTTGAAGTCCGTCCCTAACAGGATTTTTTTAATGCTTAAGTATTTTGACACTTAAACCTCTTAACAAGCCCTAAGTCTCTGGTCTGGGCTCTATCCCTAGATTACCAAGTCCCCTTACTTTGACATTTTAAATTTATGCAAGTATCAAGCATGCCCAAGTGAGGTATATCCATGGCCTTATGTAGTTCTAATAGCAGATCAAAGGACATGTTGTTGAATAGAAGAACATCCACACGTTGACTGTTACTGATTCTAGAACATGGAGGACAGAAGATGTCTAAGCCACTGATAGTGAGTGACTGATGAAGGCAATATGACTATTAGCACCCATATATGCACTGTGTAAAATTGTCTGAAAATAAAAAAAAATTGACTGCTTGGTTGAAATAATATATTTTAAAAACAGAAATGTGGGTTTGTGTTTTATTTTAGGAGAACACATGCTAACCTCAATGATAACCTTGTGTAGTCAAATAGTTCATGTCTCTCTACTATTCCAATTTTACGGCTTAGAAGTGTTTGCTAGAGGGAAGTTTTTTTTGTTTTTGTTTTTTTGTTTTGTTTTTTGTTGTTGTTTATCCTGCCTCACCCAGAAGAAATCGCTTTTTAATGTTTATGCTTCCAGAATATGTGATGCTTTTATTTTACTTTTAGATATCTTTATCCAACCAGTGAAACTTGTCACAATGATGACAACCCCTGGGCTTTTACTTTTTAACCGATTTTAGTGTTTTAGACTCAACACCACAAAATCTGGTCAGTAATCTTCTACAAACTTATATTTTGTTGTGCTTAGTTTGTCTAAGATAATTAATGTCCTCCTTGGGAAAATAAAAGAGACCTACAATTGCACTGTGTGCAGCTGAAAAGTTCAGTCTTCACAAAGCAGCGGCCGTGAAGATCTCCTCACGTGTCATTTTCATATTTTCAGCTCCTCTCCAACAACAAAATCAGCAGCCTTTTCAGACTGACAAGGGGAAAATGTGGATGGAGATTGAGTAATATACCCCTTGCCCGATTTTTAAATCTTTCCATCAATTCCATCCGAATGGTTCTTCAACTCAAGTAATGATGGACCCCCACGTGATCTGCCGGGATCTGTTCGAGGTGCTGGAGGCAATGCAAACACTCTAGTCAGAATGAGCACAAGCAGGCTGGGAGAAGAGGGCTGAAGTGACTGCCCTGTGCCTTTTTCACGTTGTACTAGAGATTGATTATGGCAAATGCAGTCACCATGGTCAAGCTGGAGG